AGTTCTTCTTGCGTTTGGCACGAATCTTCCTCCAATAATGCTTCCAATTCCATGTCTTCGTACACTTTCGGCCTTCCACTACGTTCTTTGTCTTCTCTGTCAACTCACCGTTTTTAAACTTTTGAAACCACTCACGACAACTTTTCTCACTTAAAGCAGTTTCACCATATGTTTCTACAAGCAATCGATACGCCTCAGCTGCAGATTTCTTCAAATTAAAGAAGTAAATTAAAAGTTCCCGCAAATGACGCTTATTCGGCACAAAACTTGAAATTTTCGCACGAAAAAAATTATGTGATGCTGATACGGAGTCACTAATACTTCAAGGTTATGTTGTTACCAGATATCCAAACTTACGATATTACGTTTTACATCTGACAATTTCAACATAATCTTCTGGTGGGACCATCTTTTGTCAAACGGCGGAAACTTATTTGTACTCCTAATAGTATCTTCTGATATACAGTAACTAATGCATTTAAAACTTCGTTCTGTATACCAGATCCAGGGATTACTCTAAAGATTATAAGTTAATTACATACAAATAATATTAATGAATAAACGCATAAAACCTATTTGAACTAAAAAAACTAAAAAAAATTATACTTGATCGTCTCGTTTTCGATGAGAATGCGAATATCCTCCATCGGTGACAGATATTCGGCATCGTTCAACAACAAATGAAATGGTTCTCTTATGCTGCCCCCAGGGTGCGCAAAGCCGGACTGGCCGTGGCCAGGCTGTTGCGCGCCCAAGAGGGCCCAGGATGGCAGGCTCGTCGCCTGTATGTCGGTGCGGTTCTCTCGATCGCCCTGTACGGGGCGCCTATCTGGGCTCCTCAGTTGCTAACCACCACGGTGGCCAAGCAGGTAATGAGGCAGGCCCTTAGGCCCCTCATGATCAGGGCGACTCGAACGTTCCGCACAGTGTCATACATGGCGGCGATCACCCTGGCCGGATCTCCCCTGTGGAGCTCCTAGCCGAGGAGAGGAGAATCCTCTACTGGCGGGTAAAGGAGCTCCGCGAGGGGGGAGAGCTGACGGCCAGGGGCCTGAAGTCCCTGATGACCCAGGCCAGATACCGGACTCTGGAGCGGTGGGAAGGCTTGCTAGCCGACCCCCGAGGGTCCGGTCTCGCAACGGCCGAGGCTGTCCGTCCCTGTCTATCAGAAATGACAGACAGGAGGGGGCGTGGAATGTCCTTCCACCTGGTGCAGGTATTGACCGGGCATGGGTGCTTCGGGAGATACCTGCACCGGATAAGGAAGGAGCCCACCGCTCGGTGCCACCACTGCCCCGAGCGAGAGGACACGGCGCTGCATACCCTAGCTGCTTGCGCAGCATGGGATGAGCAGCGCCGGGTCCTGCTCGGGGCGGTGGATTGCCGAAACGGGGAGCCCTCGCTTCCGCACCTAGTGTGAGCTATGTGCGGGAGCGAGAGAGCGTGGGACATGGCGGCCTCCGTCTGCAAGGAGGTAATCTCCCAGAAGGAGGCCGCCGAATGGAGGTGCCGGCCTGGCAAACGCCGTCGCAGAGGACGGCGGGGCCAGCGCTCCCCTGGGGGGGAATAAATAGCGGGCCCGAGGTGACATTGGACGAGAAGAGGGCGCTGGCCTACACGGGCCGGCGCCTTCCTCGGCCACCTCGGGCCAGGCTCTGCCACTCGGAGGGGAGCGAGGAAGACACCTCCCGCTCCCCCGAGTGATCGGATAGGAGAGAGAAGGGGAGGTGGAAAACCCGATTAGGGTCGCGCCCACCTCCCTAAAATCCCCCCCTCTCCCTTCAGGAAGGGGGGATATGGAGGAAGAGTGGATATTCCCTTTCTCCAAGGTGACACCAGAAGGCCAATCGGCGGGGTTACCCGCCGGGGACCGCACCTCTCCCAATAATTCCCCGAAAGGGGAAGGGGGCTGCGGTACAAGTAGGCGAGGGGCTCTTAGATTAGAGCCCTGGGGCCGTGGGGTTGGGGAGGGAATGCGGGAGCAGTTCCCCTAACTTCGCTCCTCACGGTCCGACAGGTAGACATCTAGCAGGGGTTTTAGTCGGTAAGAGTCCGACATAACCTCCACCCCTCCCCAAGGGGGCGGGGGTATCCATGATGGATATCCCCTGCGTGAACAAAAAAATGGTTCTCTTATGCCTATTACGGATAGCCGTTCTCGGGAGTTCGGCCCGCATTTTAGGGATCTTGCCCTCAGGGTGCGCGGGGCTGGACTGGCTGTGACCAGTCTCCTGCGCAACCTTGGGGGTCCAGGATGGAGGACTCGCCGCCTATATGCGACGGCCGTGCTGTCGATCGCCCTGTACGGGGCGCCCTGAGCTGGGGCACCGATATGGGCGCTCCAGCTCAGTGCCTGCCGTGATGGCCTAAGCCGCATGCGGCAGGCGCTGAGACCAATGCACATTAGGGCGATCAGAGGGTACAGCATGGTCTCATACATGGCAGCGACCACCCTGGCCGGCTTCCCTCCCGTGGAGCTCCTCGCCGAAGAGGGAAGAGTCCTCTATTGGAGGATCAAGGAGCTCCGCGAGGAGGGAGGCCTAAGGGCCAGGGACGTGCGGGTCCTACAATCCCAAGCCGTGGCCCGTACCCACGAGATGTGGGCGGACAAACTGTCCGACCCATAAGGGTGCAGGTGCAAGACGGCGGGGGCTGTCCGCCCCTGTCTGCCAGAGTTGGCGGGCAGGAGGGGAAGCGGATTGTCCTACCATCTGGTGCAGATACTGACAGGCCATGAGTGTTTTGGCAAGTATTTGCACCAGATCGGGAAGGAGCTCTCCACCAGATGCCACCATTGCCCCGTGCTGATGGACACAGCGCACCTCACCCTGGCTGACTGTCCAGCCTGGGAAGAGGAGCGCCGTGTCCTGGCCGGGGCAATGGAGTGTCACAGTGGGGAAATCTCGCTCCCGCGCATGGTTCAATCCATGTGCGGGAGCGAGGAGGGTTGGCAAGCGGCGGCCTCCTTCAGTAAGGATGTAATGTCCAAGAAGGAGGCCGCCGAGAGGGAGCGCCGACCACACTCAACCCGTCGTTGCAGATGACGGGGTGGTCGGCGGCCCATGGGACGGGGGGGGCGGCCGAATTAGGCAGCGGGCCTGAGGTGACACCGGCCGAGGAAGCGGAAGGACCCCCGACTAGCAGGGGTCCAAGCCCTCTTCGGCCGCCTCGGGCTCGCCTCCGTCGGCAAGGGGGATTCGGCTCTTCCTCCTTTTAAAGGAGGAAGATGGATCCCCCCTGACCACGGATATGGTAGGATAGGGGGGAGTGGTGCCCGTTTTGGGGACAGAAACCCTCCCTCCCTGAGTAACGGGGAGGCGGATAAGGGGTGAGGGCGGATGCCCCCTCACTCCATAGGTGATACCAGAAGGCCAATCGGTCGGTCTTAGATCGACCGGTACCGCGCCCTGGATTCCCTTTGCGGAACAGGGCGCGATAACAGGTGGCGGGGGGCTCGATAAACGAGTCCTGGGGCCGGGGTGTCGGGGAGGGAATACGGGAGTTCCCCTGACTCCCCACATTTCCGATCCGACAGATAGGCATCCCGCAGAGGTAGTCGGTAAGAGTCCGACATAACCCCCGACCCCCCCAAAGGGTCGGAGGTATTCATAATGGATTTCCCCTGCGTCACCAAAAAAAAAGAAATGGTTCTCTTATGCCGGGTAATTGGCAAGACCCGCCCTTGGGCGCCCCCGCCGACGGAGTCGTTGGACAGCCAGGCCCTCGAGGGGCTCCTCGACACCCTCTTCCCGAGGGTGGAGGAGGCCCCCCCAGGATCCCCGCCCCCGAAATGGGGGAGGGGGACTGGGAGGAGGACCTGGCTGTGGGATCAGAGGAGCTCGTCAAGGCCAGGGGTAAACTCGGGGGCAAGGAGAAAGCCCCCGGCCCTGACGGGATCCCTGGCCGAGCTTGGGCTCTCGCCCTCGGCGACAAGAACCTATCCGCGGCCTTACGTGGGGTTCTGAGTGAGTGCCTCAGGGAAGGAGTATTCCCTCGGCCTGGAGGAGGGCTAAATTGGTCTTCCTCCCCTAGGAGGGTAAGCCGCCCGGGAGCGCGTCGGCTTATAGGCCGATATGGTTGCTGGACGAGGCGGGCAAGGTGCTTGAACGCATCATTGCCGACCACTCGGTCCAGCACATGGCCTCGGAGGGGCCGGATCTCCACGGCCGTCAGTATGGATTCAGGCCCGGGAGGTCAACGTTGGACGCCGTCCAACACCTCCGGGACTTGACCGCGACGGTCGTGGAGAAGGAGGGCGGGATGTTGTTGGCGGTGTCCTTGGACATTAAGAACGCTTTCAGCACCTTGCTCTGGCCGGAGATTGGACGGGCCCTCGAACACCACGGGGTGTCTGTCTATCTCCGGCGCATATTGGCGGCCTTCGAGGACAGAGACCTCGCCTTCGAAGAAGGCGGGGTTCAAGGCCGGCGCGCGATTGAGCGCGGTGTTCCGCAGGGGACTCGGTTCTCGGCCCCCTGCGATGGAACATCGCGTTCGACCAGGTGTTGCGTACTCCACTCCCCCCAGGCTGCCACGTTGTCTGTTACGCAGACGACACGTTAGTGGCGGCCGGGGGGAAGAACTGGGGGGAGGCTCGCCTCTGCGCGTAGGCTGCAGTGAGATCAGTGGTGAGAACCATCGTGGACCTGGGTCTGAAGGTGGCGCCCCAAAAGACTGAAGCCGTGTACTTTCACGATGACAGTCGAGGGGCGCCGCCCGAGACTCAGGTCCTGGTCGATGGCGTCCGCATCCGCGTTGGGCCGACGATAAAATATCTCGGCCTGACGTTGGACAGCCGCTGGGAGTTTGGCCTGCACTTCAGGAATCTGGCCTCCAGGGTGCGCGGGGCTGGACTGGCTGTGGGCAGTCTCCTGCGCAATCTTGGGGGTCCGGGATGAAGGGCTCGCCGCCTGTACACGAGTGCTGTCCTATCCATCGCCCTGTACGGGGCGCCGATTTGGGCGCCCGAGCTCAGCGCTTGCCGTGACAGTGTACGTCGCATGAGGCAGGCGCTGAAGCCAATGTATATCAGGGCAGTTAGGGGATACAGCACTCTGTCGTACATGGCGGCGACCACCCTGGGCGGCTTCCCTCCTGTGGAGCTCCTCGCCGAAGAACGACGTATCCTTTATTGGATAATCAAGGAGCTCCGCGAGGAGGGGGAGCTAACAGCCAGGGACCTGCGGGCCTTACAGACCCAAGCCGTGGCCCGTACCCAGGAGATGTGGAGGGACGCACTGTCTGATCCATGAAGGTACGGGCGCGAGACGGCGGAGGCTGTCCGCCCCTGCCTGCCAGAGTTGGCGGGCAGGAGGGGATGCGGATTGTCCTTCCATCTGGTGCAGATACGGGCCATGGGTGTTTTGGCAAGTATCTGCACCGGATTGGGAAGGAGCTTACCACCAGGTGCCACCACTGCTTCGTGCTTATGGACACGGCGCTCCACACCCTGGCTCAGTGCTAGGGGATCCAAAGAATTTCCCACGCTTACAGCGCATGCCTGAAGTGACGTAGAGCTATATATATGTCGAAAACCACTGACAGTTTAAAACGCATGACAGAGGAGACATGGAGGGGCCCGCGCAGAATACTTGTGTTTCCCATAGTTGTTTTCCCGCGTTTCTTCCGCGAGTGCGTGGTTTAGGGTTAGGTTACCCAGTAAACATTAAATATGTTATATTTATGTTATGTTATATCAACATTATATTTTCTTAATATCATTAATTAATGTAATGTAAGTGTTACTTAGTGTTTATATGTAGTGTGTAAGAATAGTGATAGTGCAATCTGTGATATAGTGCAATCATAGTGTTCATTTTTGTTAAATAAAATATTAAGTGCTATGAGAACGGATGACCAACCTTCAACCAGTGACATTGAGAAGAGGAAAGTTGGAGCACAAAAATTTAGAACAGCGTAGTTAGGTATGAACATTTTTAAAGATTGGTTGACATGGCATCAAGACAATGAAAAAGCTATCTGCACGGCTTGTAACATTGTTTTGACATCCGGTAAATCTAATTTAATTAAACATGCCAAAAGTGGCAAACATGTAAAGAATATGATGATTCGTAATGTCAATCCATCTGTTTCATTAACTATGAACAACAATACGTTTGAGGAGATCATGCCACTAAAGTAAAAATAGCCGAGATAAAATTAGCAGTTTTTTACGCATCTCATAACATAACTTTTGAAATATTTAATGACATGACCCCTTTTTTAAAAGATATTTTTACAGATTCACATATAGCCAAAGATCTGACACTGTCACGAAGAAAGTGTACGCAAATTATCAGAAATATTGTAGCGAAACGTGCAAATGAAAAACTTATTAGTAATTTATTAAATATTCGATTTTCAATTTCACTTAATGAAAGCACAAGTGTCACAAATGATAAAATTCTTTGCATTTTAGTTAAATATTTTTCAATACAAAGTAACAAAGTTGTCACAGAATTATTAGAATTAGTTTCTTTAGATGCAACAGATTGTTCCGCAGAAAAATTATATTCTGCGTTTGAACAGGTTTTTTAATAGTAAAGAAATACCAATTTGTAATATTGTAGTAATGGCTTCTGATAATGCTGCTGTTATGATAGGTAGTCACAATTCTTTTCAGAGTAGATTAAAGAAAGAGGTTCCGGCCCTCATTGTATTAAAGTGTATATGCCATTCCTCAGCTCTTATAGCAAGTAAAGCGTATTTTAAATTGCCGGCTTCTTGTGAACATATTTTATACGCAGTTGGTATATATTTTCCTGTCAGTGCTAAAAGATCAGCTATTCTATGTGAGTTCCAAGCATTTTATGGAGTAGAGTCACAAAAAATCTTAAAATTATCTAACACAAGATGGCTTGTCTTGCAGAAATGTGTTGAAAGATTTCTCGATAATTGGAAAGTTTTAAAACATTACTTTAATCTAGAAAGTTTGGAGTCTAACAATAACTCGGCATCTTTTATTTGTAATATTTTAAATGATAAAGTTACTTAAACATATTTGTTGTTTTTAAAATATTCCTTAACTTTCTTTAACACTTTTTAACGCTTTGTATCAGTCCAGACAAATTTTAATTCATAAAATATAGTTGAAGATTGTGAACAGTTAATGAAACAGATGGGAAAATAATTTTTAAAACCTGATGTTATAAGTAATATTGCTGACAATCTTTTAAATCCAGAAAACTTTTTACCGGTAAATTCTATTAATGTTGGTCTAGATTTTGAATTATTTCTCTCAGCTCATGAATGTTCAAATTTTTATGTTGAAGTAAAATCTAATTGTCTGCAATTTTATATTACCGCAGTACAAGAAATGCTACATCGTCTACCGTATAATGATGAAATCCTTCGCGAACTTACATTTTTAGATGCGAAATTTGCTTTACACGACAAAGATAGAATCATATTTCCTTTTACGAATGTAGCAAAACATTTTGGCATATCTGACATTACGAAAATAGCTAAGGAATGAAAAATTTTACCTTTCGAATTTAATGACGTGTATAAATTTTTTTTAGCTAATTTAGATATCGTTGAAATGTGGAAGACAATTTTTGAGAAAAAGATTGTAATAATGAGCCGTTGTTTCCAAATTTAGAAAAATTAGTATATGCTGCTTTATCGCTTCCACATTCTAATGCCGAAGCAAAGAGAATATTTTCTATTGTCACTGATGTCAAGAATAAAAAGAGGAATTCAATTAGTATCACTTCTTTAGACGCACTTCGTAAAATACGATCATCTTTTGAAGCTCATAATGTAGATTTTCGCACTTTCGAAATTGATTCTAGACATTTGGAACTGCATAAGGCTAAAAATTTATATTGCAAACAAAACAAAGAATATTCTACTAAAGATATCACAGAGTTTATTTATACTAATGATTCCGAAAATTAATTACATGAAATATAGATTTATAAAATATATTTTATTTTTTAATATAGGCAAATATGTTAAAGTTAACGTTTTATTTAAACTTTACATTTCATAATACTAAAGACTAAAATTTCTTTTACAGCGTTAAAAATATTTTATTTATAATCATTTTTTGTTACGTTGTCATTGTGTACCATATTTGGGAACATTGGCACATTTCCTCTTTTTCTTCTATTAATAATCATAATTAAGACAATTGTAAAGGTATATTTTTGTCACTATAACTTTAAAGTCTTTTAATTGTTTTTTTATCATCATATTTTATTTTTTAATGCCTTTTATTTCTTCTTGCCAAATTATTTTTAACATAACAATAATATTTTCATTTCTTTTTGTGTGATAAAATGTACTCTATTGATTAAGTACAGTGCAATATTTATTTTTTTAGATTATAATTGTCTTATTATATATACAGGGTGTCTTATAACTAATCTGGCAGAGCTCGTGGAGACATAGAGCGGGTTAAGACAAATATAAAAGTCCCATATCGTTTTGTGAGATTCGCAATAATTATCGAGTTATTAATGACAGAAATCTGAGGAATGAGTGCACGTCGAGACGTTATGGGAGGAGCATCTAGCCGCTCAGGCTAAAGAGTACTGCCCAGTCGACAAAAGAACTGTTGCCGGCGCGCGGCGAGAGGAAGGACGACGTGCTAATGTTTATGTCCTTACCTCGCCGCTCCTACATCCCGCCGCACCGCGTCTAAGCTCGCGCCGATATGGCCGCTGAATATTCGCGATTACGATTATGAGATTATTTTATGAGATATCACAGATAGCTCATATTAAATTGTAAAGTTCAAGATTCAAAAGTTCTTTGATCAAGGAAAACATCGAAAAGGAGAAAGCGATAGAGAGCGATGAGATCTACAGAGATTCTCATCGTTTTCTATCGCAATCTACCGTTTTGCTGCATTGGATCCGAAAGAAATGATATCGCGTAAAGATAGAGTACGATGAACACTTTTCATCGTACTCTATTGTACTCTATCGTTAGGAGAATATTTAATTGTTAGAGTATGATAGAATTCGCGTAGAGACTCATCGTGTCCTATCGTTTTATTCAAGTCTACACGGAAAATATGTTTGGTTGAATGAACCCATTTTCTGACGAAATAAGAGAGAGAAAGAGAGAGAGAGAGAGAAGAGAGAGAGAAAGAGAGAGAGAGAGAGAGAACGATTAAGAAATTTTGATTGAAAAAAGCACAATTTTGTTTAAGTTAACCATAAACCTTGATGAATTAGATTTAGTATTAATATTTTCAGTTAATATTTCTCTGTATCGTTCATATTTCATTTGCAAGCTGTATCATGGACCAAACATTTTTATCATATATCATGCATAAATTGTTGTCTTATATCGTAATTCTTGTCAGTGTTATATTAGCAGACGATGAATCGCTGGAGATGATCACTGATTAAACTCCACCCTGCTGTCGCACAACTACTGTCAGTGTTATATTAACGACAGAAGGAACTGAAAGTTCTGTATCGTACAATTGCGAAAAGAGGACCATCGTTGTCAATGGTGCACCAACGATACTCGGCATAAAATTGATTCCTAGGTATAATCGCGATACAACGCAAATCCGAGTGTTATCCGAGTTATTTTGACACGTTATTTTTATGCGTGTCTCTGTCCCCTACTTCGGGGACAGAGACCTCGCCTTCACCAAGGAAGGCGGGGTTCAAGGCTGGCGCACTATGGAGCGCGGTGTCCCGCAGGGGTCGGTGCTCAGCCCCCTGCTATGGGACATCGGCTTCGACCGGGTCATTCGCACTCCACTCCCCGACGGCTGCCACGTTGTATGTTACGCAGACGACACGTTAGTGGTGGCCGAAGGGGAGAACTGGGGGAAGCCCGTCTCCGAGCGGAGGTGGCAGTGGCATCGGTGGTGGGAACCATTGGAGACCTGGGTCTCAAGGTGGCGCCCCGCAAGACTGCCGTGTTTTTCACGATGGCAGTCGGGGGGTGCCGCCGGAGACCCGGGTCCTAGTCGATAGCGTCCACGTCCGCGTCGGTCCGACGATTAAGTATCTCGGCCTGACGTTGGACAGCCGATGGGGATTCGGGCCTTATTTCAGGCAGTTGGCCCCTAGGGTGCGTAAGGCTGGGCTGGCTGTGGCCAGCCTGATGCGCGCCCAAAGGCACCTAGGATGGCGGGATCGCCGCCTGTACATTGGTGCGGTTCTCTCGATCGCCCTGTACGGGGCACCCATATGGGCGCCCCAGCTGCAGGCCAATTCCGCGGCCAGATGCCTGCTGCGGCAGGCCCTAAGGTCGCTGATGATCAGGGCGATTCGAGAGTTTCGCACCGTGTCGTACATGGCGGCGACCACCCTGGCCGTTTCCCCACCCGTGGAGCTCCTAGCCGAGGAGCGGCGCATCCTCTACTCGAGGGTGAAGGAGCTCCGCGAGACGGGGAAGTTGTCGGCCAGGAGCCTGGAGGCCCTGAAGACCCAGGCCAGAGCTCGGATCCTAGAGCGGTGGGAAGGCGTTTTAGCCGACTCCCGAGGGTCCGGGCTCGCAACGGCCGAGGCTGTCCGCACCTGCCTGGCTGAGGTATCAGGCAGGAGAGGGCGTGAAATGTCCTTCCACCTGGTGCAGGTGCTGACCGGCCACGGTTGCTTCGGGAAGTACCTGCACAGGATCAGGAAGGAGCCCACTACTCGGTGCGGGAGCGTCCCAGATGCGCACAAAATAAAACGAACACAGCAGGTTGAATGAATCAGACACAGTGACAAACGGACACAGTAAGAAAAGGACACAGTAAGAAACGGACACAGTGACAACCGGACACAGTAACAAACGTAAACAGTAGGAAACGGATACACGGTGGTTGTAATCGGACATAGTGAGAAACGGATACAGTAAGAAACGGACACAGTGAGAACCGGACACAGTAAAAAATGGACACAGTATCAAACGGACACAGTAGGAAACGGACACACCGTGGTTGCAATCGGACACAGTAAGAAACAGACACAGTGATATTCGGACACAGTAACAAACGGACACAGTAGGAAATGGACACACGGTGGTTGCAATCGGACACAGTGAGAAACGGACACAGTAAGAAACGGACACAGTGACAATCGGACACAGTAACAAACGGAAACAGTAGGAAATGGACATACTGTGGTTGCAATCGGACACAGTGAGAAACAGACACAGTAAGAAACGGGCACAGTGACAATCGGACACAGTAACAAACGGACACACGGTGGTTGCAATCGGACACAATGAGAAACGGACACAGTGAGAAACGGATACAGTAAGAAACGAACACAGTGGCAATCGGACACAATAACAAACGGACACAGCAGGAAACGGACATACGGTGGTTGCAATCGGAGACAGTAAGAAACGGACACAGGAAGAAACGGACACAATGACAATCGGACACAGTAACAAACGGACACAATAGAAAACGGACACAGTAGGAGACGGATACAATAGGAAACGGGGTGCGAAAAGTGAAAAAAAAGTAAAATCTGATCGTACGTGCATTATTTATGTATATTATTGCTGAATCGACTCATCTTTTCATACTGTGCGGTCACTTCTGCACTTGTGCAAATTGTTCTAATTAAATCATGCAAGATAGCGATCATGTTAAAACTTATTCAATTTGCAAAGCACAAATTTCATCGGTGTACAAAATATATATGCCATATACATGTCTTACTTTTATTTGAAGTGTATAAAAATATTTAGAATTATCAGCATCTTTTTTAATACATATTCTTTATGACGTTTATCGCACATATATTCTAAGACAGTCGATTAGTTGCCAATATAACAGTATTGTATATGTTAAGCATTACATACTGAAATGTGTTGTAGACTAAGGCTGTATGCAAGATTAGGTTGAAAGTATTTACTGCTAATTTCTCACAATACTTTAAGGTGAATTATATAAAAATTACTTATATGCTAATATTCAAAGTTATTTTCTTTAATAATATGTATTATAAACATTTCCGAAACAATGTGTGTTACATAATTACATAACAATTACATAACAAGCCAACAAAAGAACAGTAGGAAGCACGCATACTAAAATATAAAGTATATCTTAAAATATATATGGTTATTTTTATCTGCAACGACTGCAAGGTTGACGTGCTTTCCGTTTTCGTGTAATCTAGAACATTATGTAAATGTTTCAATGTGTAAATATTTTATCTGTCGATAATGAGTAACGTTTCAATGTATACTTACTTTTGATGGAATAGTGTTTTCAATAAACGCTAATGGTTGCTGACTATTCTTAATATATTTTTCGCAGTCTTGACGTGTGAGCTTTATTAGAGTAATCCTAGGTTCTAATAGATTTATTGGGATATCTTTGGGATTTGTAATACTTGTATTTTTTCTTCACAATTTTTTCCAGTATTGCCTATCAAAGATATATTTGGAATATTTTCCTGAAGCGTGATAAGGCAAGTTAATAAGAATGTAAGTCAGACATAATATAGTTAATACTAACTTTGCATATTTATATGATATTTATCACAAACAGTTTCAGGTAGTCCGACAAATAATTCCTCTTCATAATTTTTGTCATTTTCATTTAGCAAAGATATGTCTAATACATTTTCCTTCTCTAGAGTATGATAAAGATAGTTATCTTTTTAAAAAAATAATTGTTAGTAAAATATAAAAATTATTGTTAATACTAACCTTGCATATTTACGTGTTCTTGATGTAGAATGTTTTTGGATATTCCGATAAATATTCGCAAAAATTGTTCAATGGGTAACCTTGAAAAATATTTTAATACTTTAATATTATAATATTTAATATTATAATATTATAATATTATAATATTTTAATATATATATAACGTTATATATATATATATACACACACACACCCAGCAAACAGTGTTACATGTAATGTATTGTGGCGCTTTCCTCATAGTCATATTCACGTTATCAAATAAATTCTATTGAATCCAATAAAATTCCACGGGACGTAACAGAAAAAAAGTGGTGACGGCGGTGGGATTCGATCAGGGGAAATAAATGCATATTATCGTTAATGGACTAGAGGAAATTTCAGCCGTTTGTACTGTCCCATTCAAGAATCTTCTTAATCAATTAAAGGAGAGTAGAGTGTAATAATATTTTATATGAAATACCTTCCCCGCGTTCGCTTATGTGCCGTCGTCCGCGCCTTGCAAATCGTTTCTCCTGTAAGACTGAACTAATTTTTTTTCTCGCTTATGTTACGTCCTGTAGATTTAATTAGTAAAAATTCTTTCCTCTCGCAGATTTATATTCTCCTAATATAACTATAATAGGAATATATACATATATAAATATAAATTAGGAAACAGACCCATCTGGCGAACAGCCGTCGCGCCAAATGAAAAGCGATTCGGGAAAATTCCATAACAGGAAACAATGCCCTGTTGTAAAAACCTATACCTGGGTAGTGTTCGCCAAGTATGTCCGTCGTCCCAGTTATAAAAACTTGAAACTCCGCGCTAATAAACCTTCAGTGAAACAAAGCAACTCAGAGCATCCCTGCTCTAAAACTTGAAACTCACATCTTCCCAATCCAAAACCATATGTGCCCAATCAGTCAACCAACAAAGCCTACTTCACTGATAGTCGTAAAATCTGATCCCAGCCTTTGATTTACGGCATTTTGATTTTTCCAGCCGTCCACTTGTATACATTTCTCTATCTCAAGAACCCACCACCTCTACGCTTGTCGCGCCTAACTCATTCAGCCAATCATATATCCACCTAAAACTATGAGACACTCACGCTCCACCCTTTAGCCCTTCCATATTCATATCTCCAAAAACTAACTGTCTCCTCCCACGATGTCTTTTAACTTTGCTAATGGCTGAGACTTTTTCCCACTAAGACCAATCCACCCCTTCCTCAAAGGCCATCTCTCTACCCACCCTGATAGCTTCTGCCTCCGATTATTACTATAAAAACCGCGGTAATCCGCCTCCGCGGGCACTTCTACTTCAACTTCTACCGTTACTTCTATTCTGAGAGACAGAAAGAACAGATTCACATAGATTCTAGTTTCAAAAATCAGACTTGTAAAAACACGTCCTTAGACTCAAATTCGTCTTCGGTTTTGTTTCGGTACTACATATTCTTTTACGTCCTCTGTTTTATTTATTTATTTTTGGGACTAAAAAAAAAAATAAAAAGTTTGAATCACTGCTATTGTGCCATAATTGGACAATTGGAAGGGAGTGGACGAGCACAACGTGACCTATCGAGCAGGAGCTACCAAACATCAACTTTATTTTTGCTCACCTTCAGGATAACAGGAGTCAGCAGTAAGTTCTGTTTTTTTTTGCTTCTACCTTTTCTACCACCATCTTATTAATTCCCCATATTATTGAAATCCGTTCTAGTGGGTCATTATAACAACATAGGGATAACCCTCCACCACGTTTTCCGAACGTTCGAGGAAGCTTTTGATATTAGCGATCCAGATGAACTTACGTCCCAGATCCACTACCTCCGAGCCATAGTTAATATAGCGTTAGGAATTGATTATCACCCGGATCCTACACTCCTATCCCCTTACCTCCTTCCTCGTTTTTCCCCTGGTACTCCGCCTTCTTCTCCTACACACGCGTCCCCGCCTTCAACCCCTTCGATATCTTATTCACCAGTTTCCTTCTCCGAACTATCCACTCCCTTAAATTCACCCGACCACTCACGCTCCCCCTCACCCGACTAATTCTTTACTCATATTCCTACCTTTTTTTTTTATTATTTCCTCCTTCTTTCACTTCTCATACATACACACATACACATACACAGTCATTCCTCAACTGTATTGAACCGCGCCGTAATCCATTTTGTTATTTTAATAAATCTGTTTATATTTCATTCTTTTTCCAATTGATTTCAAAATCACATATACCCTTCCAACAGTCAACTCATGGTCCTATCCCCGGTAAAGGGATTCGCGTCCCTGACCGAAAAACGGACCACTCGTCGTACGTCGGTGCCCGAGTAAAGGGACCCGTCGGGTCCCTGACCCGTTCACTGACACGCGTGTACGAACGAGGTTCGCCTTACTCGCGAACGAAAGGGTTGCGTTCCTCCTCTAGGACGTAACACTTAATTCCTGTAAGATTAAACTGTCGCAATAGACCCCCACTTTATTGTCGATCTCGATCGCCTTGTTCAAGATTGTCAAACTCTATCTGATATGCAATCAACTGTCCCACGAGTTTTTCTTAGAAATATGTCGCGCCTTCCTCCTCACTTAGCAATACCCACTTTCCCAACTTCCGACGATTTTACTAGCGACCATCCTAGCGCGCTTCCTGCAGGGGATCTGAGCACTCCCTCGACTTCTAGAATACGAAGTAATCTCGATGCCGACGGTACATCGACCGATCCTTCTAATACCGCCGGCCTGAATCCTCGCTCTTCCGAGGACGCTACTGCCGACATTTGCGAATTGTCTAGGAGGACGGCCTCTCTCGAACTACTCATTAATAATCTCACTACATCTTTACGACTTACACGCGAAAACCCTCTTTTGTCCTCATCGTTTGCTCGACAACCTGAAATACCTCCCTCAGTTTTCGACAGCGATCCGGCCTCCGAACGCGCTAACCCTTTTCCTATACAAACTCCCAGTACACAGAACATTTTTCCAAATTCTCTTATTCGAGGCGCCTTAGAACTCGTGCCTGTTTTTGACGGTCATAATATTCCCGTGCTTCA